GAGGCCTTCAACGAGATGGATTGACACAGTGGCTGTGATGATGGGCTCAAGTATAGCAGGGATTGTGGGGCTGGCGCGGGACCGGGCAGTGTTTCGTTCTGCTGTGCATGGGGTCGCTATGAGTCGGAAACGACTCGTCGGCACTTAACAACAACATATGTACCAACTTTAGAAAATTAGCAAAACAGAAAATTTTATATACATGTGCATTATATATATAAAGTACTGTACCTTTCTACCAATACCCACTGAAGTCTGATCTTCCTACCTACTAAATGTAATTTTTTAGGTTCTCCTGTTGACACTCAGCCAGCAACCCAATTACAGCAGAAAGATTCTTCTCAGATCTTAGAGCCCAAACGGCCTCCTCCTCCCCGCCCAGTTGCTCCTCCCACACGTCCAGCTCCCCCACAAAGACCACCTCCACCATCAGGTAACAAGTCATTTTATGTCCATTTCTGCTAGACTTAAAATTCCCCTCTACCCCATTTAAAAATGTTTTACATGTTTTCAGATCGCTAGCTAGGAGGATATTTGATTCTTCTTATATCAATGTCACTACTTTAGCTTTTCTCTACAGACCGTGGTAGGCTGATAGGCTTGACAATAGGTAAAAGAGTGTTTACCAACTGGATTTCTTTAACATGTTTTCATAGCTGCTGTCTTACAAATATGCATGAGAAGCTTGGTTTTCTTTTTGCTAATTTGATGTAGTTGGGAAAATGATTTATTCTTTGGTAAAACTAGATTTTAATTTTCAAAATCCTTACTTCTGGCTTTAATAAGTATAAAGTCATTCTTTTACTAATTTCTATAAAATTTATAATTAGAACTGAAGAACATAAATATACTTATTATGAAATAAAGTTTTCTATTTTTGTTTAAATGTTATTTTTAAACACATACAGTGTTCTGGCTTAAATTATTAGAAGTATGCACATTAGAAAATAGTGTTTTTGATAATAACTAACTATTAATTTGTATTTCCTAAATGATATTTGTAGTAATGTATGCTGTAGTAAATCTTTGACATCTTAATTCTTTATGTCATTTCTTTTCTGCTGCATATTTTATTATTAACTATAAGGGGCTAGGAGTCCTGCACCTGCTAGAAAAGAATTTGGAGGTAACCATTTACATTTATTATAGTGTATAGATAATGATTCATTAATGTTTTAGAGTCTGATCCCTGTAACTGAAATATGGTTTAGGCCTGTCTAATAGAAGGGAGCCCTGGTAGCATAGTGCCTAAGCACTTGACTGCTAACCAGAAGGCTGGCGGTTCAAACCCACCAGCCACTCCTCGGAAGGAAGATGGGGCAATCTACTTCCGTAGTGATACTGCCTTGGAAACCCGAGGAGGGGTCGCTATGAGTTGGGTCCAACTTGACAGAACATAACAACAACAACAACAATAGAAGTCAGAATGAATGACATTTATACTAAAGGTTAAAAATAGCCCCAAACTTCCCTTATCTTCCTGTCAAGTAAAAGGTCAGAGCTTAGTTTCAGTAGTGATTAAAACTATTTTGTGAGGGCTTTTGTTTTGCAGGGAAACATAGTTGAGCTATTCATCAAGGTCTAATACCTTGATAAATACAGTCATTTTGATCGCAAATATGTAATTCCCAAATGTCACGTTAATTTCAAAACACATTCGGTAACAGTGAACACAAAACATTTCCCAAGTATTTGATTTGTGATACTCTGGTACATTATTATTTTAGTAGCTTGTGGATTAGTAAGATTTCCTAAGAATGCAGTTTAAAGTTATAATAAGTATGTGAAACATACCTTTCACTTTGCATGGCTTTCTCATACATAAATTGCCATAAAACTCATGCCTCATTTTTTTTTCAATTTTAGAGTTGTATGATTTTTTTTCTTTTTTTCCTATAAGATATTTTTAAATAATGAAAGCATCACTTTTTATTTAAAGTATTAGTTTGGGGTTAAACTTATACTTACTTTTAGACTCATGAAAATTCACAAAGCTCAGTTGGAGGTAAACATTGGACAAGTTTATTTAATCTAGTTCTCAACAATGGATGAGGCAGGTTCAGCAGAAGATCTTTTGCAAATCTAGTTTTAATATTACTGGGGTCCACTGCATATGGTAGTGGACATGTTTTTACTTTAGCTGCCTAATAACTTAATTGATCCATGCCTAGTGATAGTACAGATTGGCCTTGTTTATCTGTAGACATTTATGACTTTATTTAATAGGAATAGCCATATTATTTCAGTACCACAGCATCTGCAAAATACTGCCAGGTGATAATTTTTCCATTGATTTACAGAAAGCATAATTTTTTCCTGGTTCAAAGTTCTATTTATTTAATTTTCATGATAATTTTCATTTTCTTTCTACTTTAATTAGGAAAACAACATGTAGAAATGAGTTTCAGAATTGAATCTTTGGAAGGTTGTATTGGCAACCCAGTGGCTTATTAGAAACCCACTTTAATTTTTTTTTTTTTTAATTGCTTCGCTTCATAATTCTTTTACAGGTAGTATTCGCAACATAAGTTATTTTACCCTGTAATTTAACAACTTTTATAAGGAAGTAAGTTTGGGTAAAATCAGTATGGTATTTTCATAGCTTTTTTTAAAAAAATTTATTAAAAACCAACTTCTGCTACATTTACATAAATACTCCATAAAATCCAAACCCATTGCCATCAAGTGGATTCCAACTCATAGCAACCCTAATAGAGTAGGACTGCCCATAGAGTTTCCAAGCCTGTAAATCATTATAGAAGCAGAGTGCTTCATCTTTGTTCTACAGAGTGGCTGATGGGTTTAAATCACTGACCTTTTGGTTAGCAACCAACCAGTTAATCCATACCACGAGAGCTCCTTTACATATTATAATTTCTTAAAAATCTGAAGTAAAATTGAAACTTCCTTCTTAGATTTTTTTGGAGTATCATAGATTAGATCTTTTAGTAATGGGTCACATTCTACATAGAAGGAATGAAATGATCAGAAAGCAAAAGGTTTCACTGAATGTATTTTTAAATTCTGCACTGCCAGTAATCTCAGCTATTAAAAAAAAACTGCCATCCCATTTGTATTCTTCTGTTTGAGGAAAGAAAGGGAGGATTTGGGTTTGGACTAGGCATATAAAGTCCTGTTGCTTTGTGTAGTATGTCTCTGAAGAAATTTAAAGCAATAGGAGAGCCTTTTTGTAAAAGTAAGATTAACATAGAAGTTTTATGTGCCTGCTTTTCATTCAGTGCTGTGGGCCCTAGACAATATATAGCTTCTGTTCTTTCTTTAAAAAGGTGTTGGAGCCCCTCCCAGTCCTGGGGTAGCTAGGAGAGAAATGGAAGGTAACAAGACTTTTGTGTTGCAGAGATTGACCTCTCCTTTCATTTCTAAGGACAGTTCCTCCCTTGTTAAAAGGCATACTAAATCTATTCTTAGTCCAACTGTGAACTTCCCCTTCTCCTCCTTATGTATACTTTGTAACTTTGTATTTTTTTTTCCTTTCATCCTATGTTATGTGTAGTTTCTGATGAATATCCATTTAATTTCCCTGATATTCTCATGTTGTTTTGTGCTTTGTTTCATATATACTTGAGTACCAAGACCCATTGCCATTGAATTGATTCCAACTCGTAATGACCCTCTCTCATTCACTGCTATAAAGTCAATTCCAACTCATAGCAACCCCCATTGGCTTTCCAAGGCTGTAATTCTTTATGGAAGGCAACTGCCTCATCTTTCTTCTGTGAAGCAGCTGGTGGGTTCAAACTACCAACCTTTTGGTTAGCAACCAAATACCTTAATTGCTACATGACCCTATAGGGACAGAGTAGAATTGCCTTGTCTCGTAGGGTTTCCAAAGCTTTAAATCTTTACAGAAGCAAACTACCACATCTTTCTTCTGTAGAGAACTGCCAGCCTTTCAGTTCGGACCACTAACCTTTTGGTTAGGTGCTGAGCACTTTAACCATTGTGCCTCCAGGACTCCATCATATACTTGAGTAGGATGTGAAGTTATTGTGCTATTTTATTTGAAGAATAAGGCTTTGAAATTATTTTCAAAATAAGTCAAATATTTAGAAATGTACATATTAAATATGAAATTTAAATATTACTTAATACAGACAAATATGAACCCTTTTGCATATACAATACTGAGTTCTCAGTGAAGGCAAACATAGGTATATGGATGGATAGATAGGTGGGCAGGCTAAATGATTAGGTATGTCTATGAAATAGGGAGTGTATCCAAGATCATATATAGGGTTGGCAGACATTGGTCCTATAAGTTTATGTGAATGATCAGAATCCCCAGGTGTATAGTACAGCTGACAAGGGGCAAGGTTGTGGTCACTGCTTGGTCACAGCCAGCTACCCAGAGTGACCGAGTAGTTGATACTATGGGCTTGGGACCGTAGTCACAGGGGACATCAAGCTCAATTGGCATAACATAATATACAAAACAGTGTTCCACCTCCTACTTTGGCGAGTGGCGACTGGGATCTTAAAAGCTAGCAAGCTGCCATCTAGATGCAACAATGGGTCTCTCCTCATCAAGAGCAAAGAAGAAAGAAGAAAACCAAAATTAATGAAAACAATCAATCCTAACGACTGGTACACCATCTGATCTGCAACCTATACAACTATGAGACCAGAAGAACTAGATGGTGCCCGGCTACCACAGTCATCCAATTGGAAGGGATGTAGGAGATCCTGCATAGAGAGGGAGAACAATGTGGAACAAAACTCAAAATCATTTGGCGGGATAAAAAAAAAAGATGGTTGGGACCAGGTTTGCTGGTTCAATAGAGCCTGGTGGAACCACTGAGACTATGGCCCCTAGCTGCCCTTCAGGTCTGGAATTGAACCCACACTTGTGGTTTCCAGCCAAACAAAGTACAGACATGTGAGTTAAACATTTACCTCAAGTAGACACACGCCCTGGAGAGAACAATCATGGAAGAAGGAAGGGCTGCTTATGCACGGGGAGACAGCTTAGGGGGCAGGAGAGTATGGAGGGATGGACACTGGGAAGTGGTAACTATGGGGAGTAAGTGGGAGGGGAGCTGTTGCATTGTGGTAAACTGTGGTTAATGACATGAGACAAAGTGTATGTGAACTGCTGTATAGAAAGTGAATTTGCTCTGTAAATCTTCACCCAAATCACAATAAATAAATAAATAAATAGATTGGAAAATAAAATAAAATATTACTTAAAAGTTATTAACTCAGATCGAAGAATAGAGTATTTGGTGGATGATCTCAGATTACATCACTATTTTTATGTACAATGGTGCTGAGTTAGATTTATTTAGAAGACCTTTAAGATTGAAGGCCATTCATTAAGATTGCAGTTATTAACAGGCTAATATAATTCATATAACAATTGTACTTGAATTTGTTTTCGAAAAGGAGGATAAATCTGTGATGCTGCCTTTGATAATCCTTCCTACTCTTTCTGACCTTGAAAATAACTTACTTCATTTCATCCTTCAGCTATTTTTTAATGTGTTTCCATAAGACAGATATTTGATAATAAAATATGCCTAGCTTCTACCTTAGTCATAGGACTTTTTATAGAAATCCAGAAGACCTCATTATAAGATTATTTTAGCCATAATGATATCTACAGCATGAAGCCCTAAAAGCACTCTATTAGGAATCTCTTGTGTAACTTGAAAAATGTAGTCAGTTCCATCTGTTACTAAGGAACAACCTGCCAGTGTTGAGGAGCAGTAGTGCCACATCTTCTGTCCATGCACCCAAGCTGACCATATGTTTTCGAGGTTCGTAGGAGAGAGCTCTGTTGGAAAAATCAACTTAAAATGATTCTGTGAGCTAAGCTTGTCTCCCATAAATATCTCTGGAAGTCTTCTACTTTTTCTCTCCTTTGGGCTATTCATTCAAGTCTGATAATAGTAATACCCTCCATCATTAGCTAACATAAAGTACTTTGTTTTGTTACCATCTCATGCTCCCATTTCTGCTGGTAATGAAACTGAGCAGCCACCCAATGTTATGTGATACTACTTTATTGTTTATTTATGACTAATTGTTTTTCTCCTTCCTGCTTCAAAGCACCCAAAAGCCCTGGAATGACACGGAAAGAGATAGGTAAAAATGCTTGACTTTAATTACTTAACATTAAAACTGGACCATGAAATATACACCTGGACTATATATAAGTACATGGTTTCGTGTTTCTTTTGACTTTTGTAAAATTTTTTAACTTATCTACATGGTGTGATGTCTTTTGTTCCAGGACGTAATCAGCCTTCACCTCAGGCAGGACTCTCAGGCCCAGCCCCTGCTGGATACAGTGCAGCCAGACCGGTAGGCAGCTCCTCACCTGGGAACCAGGTTGTAGGTCCAGGTTGTAGGCCCTAATTTCCTATTGTTAATTTTGTTTCCTTGGAGAAATCATGTGATTTTCAAAGCCACAATTTCCTTAACAATAAAATGAGATAATTGCACTGGATACACTCTAAGATACCTTTCAACTCTAACATTATATTAACATACTCTTTAAAAGTAAACATTGTTCATTGTTTGGATAAAAGTGATATGCTGAAGTTATCATAGTCATAAAAGAAATAGCTTGCAGCATCTAAGTAGATGAGGAAATGATACATTTGGACAGCTTTTTATCATGTATCGAGTAATTAATGACAATATGAACTTATCCTTCAAGAAAAAGGATTTTAAGTAGATTTTAGGAAAAATAGTTCTGTAAAAGTCAATTTACTAACACTGTAAGGATAGGAGAAAGTCAAGATTTTGTGAGATTGTGATCATACCAAGTTTTACTTAAAATAATTGTGAGCTTAGAGCCTTCAGAAAAAGTATGAAAAGAGAAAACGTATTTTTCAGCAGTGTTCTTAATTTAGAATACTGAGATAGATTTCCAGAGTTTTACTTCTGTGTTACGGGGGAAAAAAATCAGGGTGTGTTTTTTTGTAAGCCTCTTAGTTACTCACTCAAAATATGTATCTCTCCATATCCTTGTAAAAGTTAACATCTTCGCAGTCTCTCATTACAGCAGAGATGCATAGCAATTAAGAGCAGGGGCCCTGCAGTTACAACTGAGTTTGGATCCTAGCTCTGTTTTCTAGCTGTGTGGACTTGGGCAGGTGATAAACATTTCCTCATCTTTAAAATGGGGATGATAAAATAATAGCTATCTTTTAGAGCTATTTTTTGAAGATTATATGAGAATGCCTATATAGTGCTTAGCACTGTGCCTGGCACATAGTAAGGCAATTAATGGTAGCCTAAAATAAAAAGGAATATTTCAAAATGTATGACTGTTACTGTTGTTGTTAGGTTCCATAGAGTCAATTTCGACTCATAGTGATCTTATGTATAACAGAATGAAACACTGCCCAGTAATGTGCCATCCTCACAATTCTTGCTATACTTGAGCCCATTAATGCAGCTACCGTATCAATCCATCTTGTGGAGGGTCTTCCCCTTTTTTCGCTGACACTCCACTTTACCAAGCATGATATCCTTCTCCAGGGAATGGTCCCTTCTGACAACATGACCAAAGTAGGTGAGACAAAGTCTCGCCATTCTGTGTTCCAAGGAGCATTCTAGCTGTACTTCCTCCAGGACAGATTTGTTTGTTCTTCTGCCAGTCCATAGTATTTCAGGATTCTTTGCCAACACCATAATTCAAAGGCATCAACTCTTCTTTGGTCTTCCTTGTTCACTGTCCAGCTTTTACATGCATGTGAGCCAGAACAATTTGGAACAGCTATGGGAGACAAACTTGTCTGCCAGTTTGTCTTATGGTGGTGGCTTGCATGTTGCTTTGAGGATGGAGGCTATGCCACCAGTGTTTCAAATGCCAGCAGGGTCACCATGGTGGACAGGCTTCAGTGAAACTTCTAGACTAAGGCAGACTCAGAAGAAGGAAGAGGCCTCTACTTCTCAAAGAATTGGCCAGTGAAAACCTTATGAATAGCAGTGATACACCGTCTGATAAATAATTGGAAAATTTTATGATTAGCCCTGAAACACTGTCTAGTATAGTTCCGGAAGTTGAGCCCCTCAGGTCGGAAGGCACTCACAATAGTACTGCGGAAGAGCTGCCTCCTCAGAGTGGAGCCGACCTTAATGATGTGGAAAGAGTAAAGTTTTTGAGACCTTCATTTGGTAATGTGTCACCTCTCAAGATGAGAAGAAACAGATGCAAACATCCATTAATCATCGGAGCATGAAACGTATGACATACGTACTCTAGGAAAATGGGAAGTTGTCAGAAATGAAATGGAACACATAAAAGTCGATACCCTAGGCATTAATGAGCTGAAATGGACTGGTTTTAGCCATTTTGAATCAGACAATCATATGATCTACTATGCTGGGAATGACAAATTGAAGAAGAGTAGTGTGGCATTCATCATCACAAGATGATGTTTCAAGATCTATTCTGAAGTACAATGCTGTCAGTGATAGGATAATATCTATACATGTACAAAGAAGTCCAGTTAACCAATATTATTCAAATTTATGCACCAACCACTAGAGCCAAAGATGAAGAAATTGAAGATGTTTACCAACTTCTGCAGTCTGAAATTGACCAAACATGCCATCAAGATGTGTTAAATATCACTGGTGATTGGAATGCAAAAGTTGGAAACAAAGAAGAATGAATGGTAGTTGGAAAATACGGCCTTAGTGATAGAAATAACACTGATATTGCATGATACAATTTTGTAAGACCAACGACTTACTCACTACAAATACCTTTTTTCAACAATATAAATGGCAGCTGTACACATGGACTTTGCCAGATGGACTACACAGGAATCAAATCGACTATACCTGTGGCAAGAGGTGATGGAGGAGCTCAATATCTTCAGCCAAAACAAGGCCAGGAGTTGATTGTGGAACAGACCATCAACTGCTCATAATGCAAGTTCAAGTTGAAGCTGAAGACAATTAAAACAAGTCCACGAGAGCCAAAACATGACCTTACATCCCTCCTGAATTTAAAGACCATCTAAAAAACAGATTTGAGGCATTGAACACCAGTGACCAAAAGCCAGAGGAATTGTAGGATGACATCAAGAACATCATTCATGAAGAAGACAAAAGGTCATTAAAAAGACAGGAAAGGAAGAAAAGACCAAAATGGTTATCAGAAGAGACTCTGAAACTTGCCCTTGAAAGGATAGTAATGGAAGAAATGACAGTATAAAAGAGCTGAACAGATTTCAAAGAGCACCTCCAGAAGACAAAATCAATTATTATAATGAAATTATTATAATGAAATATAATTATTATATATTATATATGTTATATAATTATAT